ACTCGCAATGCATAGAAATACGCACATTAGATTAAGGACGTCAACATTACACTAGCCCCAATTTTTCCCTACTATTATAACGCTTATGTATATATTAATTAAAATAAGAAGTAAAATAACTCGGAAACATTTCTAGACCTTAAGTTCTATTCAGGTTGGTGCATTGCTCTCGAGGTGCCTATTGCAAGAAATGTCTTATATTAGAACGATAGGCTGCCTTAGCGCTATGATATGTGACAGATCGGCTAGCCATAGTCAATTGAAAAGGTTTGAGTCTGCCATTGAGAAAGCTCCAATGGTTCTGATAAACAATACAGTTTGAAATAAGAAAAACCTTTTTTTCATACGAAGGTCAGCTGCAATTATTTTGAAACTGGCCACGTGTTTACACATAAAGGAAAGCTAAGATTTCCCTGCCTTAAAACAAATATATCGATTTCTTGCACATATTCCATTTAAATATATATTCGCTATGAATCCTTGAGAGTATTCTGTATATTTTTACCCCATCGTCACCAAAATGGATGAGGTTCAGCAAGGGAATTGATATCTTAGGCTGCTATAGATTCCTACTAACAATTGGCCCAGGCCAGAATAACAGATGCAGAATTATAAGTGTCTTTTGATAAGATCTGAGACTTACTTTCGCTACGAATGGGTTTTTCTACCTTTACCATTCGTAATAATGGACAATCCACAACAGAATAATATTAACAAACGTACATCAGGCACCCTTTCACAACGAGCAACGCAGATTAAGTGTAGACCGCAATTGGATGAAATTTCTATCTTTTTGATCGCAGTTGTCAAATTATGCGGGCTTTGATATTACCACTACGTATAAGTAACATTGGCCCTAGGCTAATTACGTATAGTTAAGGTTGTCACTACGAGACATTTAACATCGTCTGAGTATACAGAAGCCCAAGGCTGAGATCTGTAGGAGAAAAAATAAAATCCCATTTAAATACAGATAACCTACGGGTAAAAGGAATTTTGAGGACGAAATATGTTTTTTAAACTCGCTTAGTCCTGGCGACCTGGCAGAACCAGAACAGTCAATCAAACTTTAAAGGGAATAGCACAAAGAAGATAAATTTAACTATTGATGAATAGGCCAAGAATATATCTTGTATAACAAAATAGACACATATAAAGTATGTGAAACAAGCGTAACTACCTGGCTAATATTGAGATCATCCATCAGCTGTCGAATAGCTGGTTGTACAAACGAAGAGGAAAAGATATTAGTGGCCGTAGAGGCTATGAGACTAGAAATCGGCTTTGATGCAGATACAACCAAACGCACCCGAGAATCGTAGAGGACATCAATAAGGTTGATAAAACGTCGAAGGCTGGAGTTAGACACCTGTTCTTCAGAAACAATCATTTGGGGAACCCTACAGATCAACACAGTATGAAAGCGTCGTGCGAGAACCAGGTAATCTGCAGCGCTAAGGGCCTGATGTGCAATGCAAGAATTAAGAGGATTTTATCAAATGAATAGAATAGACAGTAAACATTTTGCGTAAATAGACTAATTCAGATACAAAGACTTTTCAATCATTTTGCTACAAAACACCTCGAGAGATGTTATTCATAATCTAAAATTGGAATAGCAAACAAGCGCTACCTACCAATTGTCGAGCGGGCCAACAGTTCTGATTTGCTTGTTATGCAGTCCTCTTTCCTAGTCTTATCTCAGTCTCTCTCTTGCTCCGTAAAATCCGTCTGCTCTAC